ATGGCACAGTCCGATTGTTACTAGTATTTTTGTCACAAAATCACTGATTTTTAATGTTCTATTGATCGGCCTATATATCTAATGATACAGTTGTACTCTGGTACAACAGCCCCTATAGCATATATTAAAATATGAGTAGTCATCACTGTTAGAATCATTTGTATTAACTTAACAAAAATGTAAATACCCCGAACATTATTAACTCCAGAAGAACGTTTTAAATCACAGCAGTTTTGCAGTAGCATATTTTAGCAATAAACTTACAAGAACCTCTCAAATACGCTTCCAAGAATAGCCTCCTCAGCCCTTTCCGCCCCGCCATCATTGAACTGGACGATTAGAAATCTAAAGCCTAGCAGTTTTTCTGAAGTATGCGTGCTGTCAGCATGGAGAGTACTCGACTAGGATGTATTCTCTTAAGAACGCCCTATTTTTCACCCGACTTAATGAAAATTGTGTTAATTACGAAACTGAAGGACGCAGTGCAGACGGTCAATTTCCTCATGTCCGTACGAGCGATTGTAGCTTAATTCCGTGTCTTTCCGGGAAAACATCAACGACGCAGTAAGTGCTCAATAACATCCAATTTTCTTGGGCAGAAGTAATTAAAGTAATCTACAGGATGACATACTGTAAAATTAGATTTTGCTTATGGCGCGTGCTCTGGGAGGGAGCTTTCAGGGCTCGTAGTCACAGAGGAAAATTAAACGGATTATATTGGCTTTTACGGATATTGGATAAATGTGTCGGTATCTGGAATTTACGGAACTTAAGCCCGAATATCTTTATTAAGTTCTGGATACTTAATTATTAATCGAACAAAGCGCGTGTTATGGCAATTACGGACTTAATCCGAAGTTATTATGAGAAAATTTTAATATTATTATATTTTCTCTTAGCATTTGTAGTAAGAGTACCTATGTGAAATATTTCTTTCATGACAATCGCAATAGGAAGTTAGTGTTAAAGATCAATAATGCACGTTTAACTAAGAGAGATTTAGCGTTAGTTAGTTAGGAATGTTCGTCACAAGATTCCCCAATTTTTATATTATTTTAGGTCAAAAAGTCGTAATGAACTAGATTTAAAAAACTACTGATTTTTGGTATAAGAGGAAGAAACCAGGCGGTAGAGCAGTTTATCTATTTTATTGTACAGAAAAATCCCCAATATTATGTAAAATAAGATTCCGAGTTTGCCTATTCCAAAAAACCATTGCTAAATTCAGGGCAACAACAAACATACAAAAAGAACGAAAAAAGTAATTCTTTATTTTTTGTTTATTTGACGAATTTCTAAAAAATTGTGTGCCCTTTCTAAAGCTTAATTTAAACCCACGGTATACGATAAATTTTTTAAATTTTCTAAATTAACAGTCCTGTCAATCGAAAACTGCGTTATCGATGGCAAAATTTTCAGGGTCGAATTGACATATGCTTTACTATTTGTTGACAAAGTTTCATGACTATTTATAAATATTTACTTATTTTAAAAATTGCTCCAAATATACATATGATTTTCTACTATTTTTCGCCCATTGCTAATGCAAAATTCAACTTTTTTTATTCGCAGATTTAGCTGCTTTATAGAAAATCGTCAAATAAACAAAAAATAAAGAATGACCTTGTTGAAAAGTTTTCCCTGCTGATAAAATCCCGATCTGCTGATGTAATTCCATATGATAGGCGTGATATTTATGCTGTTTCAAAATTCTCTTGACACTAGTGCTAGTTTATTTTCTTCATTTGTTACTGGTTTGTTAACTATTGTACGTTTTTTGAATGCAACACTTCCTGTCTCTTCAAATCGGTTCAATAATGAGCGAAAAGCTTCAGGCCTTGGTTTTTTCTCGTTTTCCGGATATCGTGCGGCATACACTTTACTAGCTAATAACGGATTTCTTTGACATTCGTATAGAACTGATATCATATTGATCATTTCTTGTGTACTTAAACTCATTTTGAAAACCTTCTTTTACACAAGTGTCAACTACTTAATTGTCAAAGACAAAATGTTACAATCGTCATAGTCCTCTTACTAAGTGTTGAAGTTTTGGTCGTTATTTCACAGTTTGTTTCAGTCGTTCTTTGAAAAATCAACGTTTTCCGATGATTTCCTAAGAAAGTATTTTATTGAAGGGTATCGTGTGCCATATTTTTTTAAAGCTACTTTTATAGCCTTTAACATGGGCAAATACAATTTAGGGTGTTCCATTTTAAAAAATTGACTTTAGAGTGAAATAATCAAGCTCCATCACCCTGTATAGTAGACAGTGATTTTTGAACCAGTCAAGATTCATTATTATACCCAAGGATATGGTACATTTTGTACTAGGTTTTGTTTTTTGACAACCTTTTTAGATGAGGGAGGAATTTGATTGATTTGGGGGTAGTTTTTCAAGTTTAAGCGCCATTTTCTCTAAAACTATAAACTTTGGGATTAAAGTAAAAATAATATTAGCGTATAATATTTTTTTAATTTATATATTTTATTTATAATTTTATTTTCCCCCGAAATTTTGATAAGCGCAATAATAACAGCGCTAGTTATAGTTGATTTTTGTAGTTATAAGATTTTGAATATTAAACTGTATCTAAATAATTACCTATTAAATTGTATATTTGTGTACTTGTCACTTTATTATTATTTTTATGTACGCGTTACTAATATTAATTAGCAGTACCTTAAATTCAAAACATATTTTTTCTCTCTTTTCATGTATCTATTGTTTTGTAATTTCAACAATACAGGACACCATTTTCGTTATAATTTTGAGTGAATGTGTTTCTCTTTCTTACCTTGATTGGTTTAAGCTCTTCTTCTTCTTCTTCTACCCAGCATACTTCTTTTCTTCTTAGTTAGGTGCCCGTTCATTTGAGCATATGTTTTCAATTCAGTTCAAAACTGGACTGCTAATTTGGAAAGAAGGTCTCTGTTCAATTTTAAAACGGTATGAATTTTGTAACCATGAGAAATCTTACCTTAGGTGACGTTCTGAGAAAGGTTGTTTATTATTATTGTTTTTTTATCTAGTTAATGACTTAGAGCAATTGAAATTAAAAGAATAACGCATGTATTTAAAGTTAATTTGATCAGAACTAATAATTTCATCAAAGTGGAATGATTTCATTTGGTTTTTATGTTATCATCTACTCTATTTTGAAAAATAAATAATATCTTGTGTGACTAGCTAACAATTGATTTATTTAATAAATTTTTCATTTCAAAATTTTTATAATGACACTTCTGAGATCATACGCAAACCTTATTCTAACCTACTCTATCCTAACTTGGTCAAACTTATATTTTATTTAATATTAATTTTGGTCTTTGTCTTTATTATTTAAATTCCTAGCCATTATTCATTTTATCACACCATATATTTTGCTTTTATTTATTTTTTTATGTAATAACTCGTGTAATAATTACTTTATCTTCCCATCATTATAAATTGTATTTATAATTTTGTGCATGACCTAAAATTTTAATCATTTTAAACTCATAAGCAGACTATTATTTATCAGTAAAAATCAGTAGTATCGGTTGGACAAATTTGAGAGGGATTTTTAGATGGTTAAATTTCAGTAAGAAATACTTTTAAGAACTGAAATAAAAATAAATTGATGCTCTGTACTATTGCATTTAACTTGTATTGGTTATGTCACCACCAAAAACAGGATTGGTTTTGCACACAGAGATGAGGCAAAAATCATTTATCTATCCCACAAATGAAATTGTCTACGAATATTATCGATCAGGTCAGTAGCGAATCCCGTAGGTCAATTTCGTTACAGCGTTACAAAAGCTTTCAATTTGTTGGAAACTTCTGCGGTATTATTCAGTTTAATTCAATTACCCTTCTCAGGAACAAATATATTGAGCTTTTGTCAGAGTATTTGCTCGCTCTACTTTGAAAGATTTAGGTTTCGAAGTGAAGGTATTTCTTATATAAAACTCTTGACATATTATACTATTGTATAAATTTCTCTGAAAGGAATGTGTCACAAATCTCAGCAATTATCTTCTTATAAGATAAACAAATGTTGAGATTAGTTCAAAATAGTGAAATCGGGTTTCTATTAAAATTAGAATTTGAATAAGTATAGATATAGATAAGAATAGGACATAGTAAGTACTGCATAATATCTCTTACGTATTTCTTGTACTAAACTTAATAAACCAGTTTAAAAGGTTAACTAGTTGACAAACCATCTTGCAAAATTAACTAAAATATTTCATAAAATGTATGAAATACATCTCAAGTGACAATTGTTCTCCAAAAATGTGTCTTGCTATCATACATTTTAATATAATAACGGTTGTCTTCTATATCTGGTACTACCATATTTAGGAGTTCTGTTCTACAAACACATGTTCTACATGGTTATAATTAAAAATTTTAGGTAAAGGGAATTGCCTTTACGGACAAGGTACACAGGTACATAAACTTTCCAATTTACTATGACATACTTAAAATCTGATCGGTAATATTCCGCAACGCAGAAAAAAATGTAAAATACGTAGAACATTTTGTCATATTCTGTTGACCATAACAAAATGATATTTTATGCATATTTCTCATTGACCGTACCCTTAACAGTCCACACCGGAAGGGGAGCAGGAACACTGAAATCCCGAAAATATCCACCTATTCTTCCCTGAAAACTTTTAATTCGAACCTTATAAACCCTCACCTTATATAAAAATGTATCGATTACCACTTTTCCCTCGATACCAAAATGAATATGAACATACTTTTAAGCTTTATTCAAAGCAAAAAAATTAATATTTCTAATAGTACGTTTTCGTAATATTTACATAATAATATAATTAGTAATAATAATATTTACAGTGTTATACTTTGCTACAATGTTTTTCTTTCGTTGCTCATGTTTATCATTATTGTTTTCAATCTAGAACATAAAAAAATAGAAACATCTTGCTGCATTAATCTTTAATATACTGATAAATATTTAATAAATTACAATAAATTGTCTTATGCCAGCTGCTCTATTTAATGCTCGATTTTTCCTTCATATTTTCTGGTAATACTTTTCTGCTTTTACCTGCAATTACAACCATATAATTTAAACTAACGGACTACACACAGGGTACTTCTGGGACAGCCTAAGAAAATATAATATTTTTAAATGTAAAGGCTGTTTACCAAGCGATTTATTTTTAATACTTACTATTGTCATTTAAAATTGAACTCGCACTTTCAGAAACAGCCTGTATCTGTTGTAAGGATAATATGCAGACAGGGTAATTTAAACAAATTTAAGAATGGATAAAAGTTTAGAAAAAAATATAAACTGTTTCTTTAAATGTTACCTAAAGACGTTAAAGCCAACACAAGTATTTTTTTTTATAAATATCTAATTTACTTTTTAGTGTGAAAATGCCATTATCTGTCTCTACTAGTCTAGTCCTTTAGCTGTCCTGATTTATAGGTTTATATACAGGTCATTATTTATTTTATAATTTGTATAAAAATATAGCTAATAAAATACGAAATATAAGTCTAAAAAACATAGATCAATGGATCAAATAAGCATGTTATTTTAATAAAAGCGTATGCATTTAAGATTTATCTGTTTCCTATTTTGTTAGTGGCATGTACACTTATGAATTGGACATCTAAATAACTGGCATTATCTTATAAACATTATCTTATAAATAACTGAATCACCCTATATACGAAAAGCAACATTTTACCTGATTTTTTCATTAAAAGCGAAGCCATTCCTACGAAAGGATATTCGAAACATAGGCTAAATGGAATTCCGAGTAAAGTCATTAGAACTATATCCGAGCATGCCATGTAGAGCTGAAAAAGAAAATAATAGTCAACAAATCCATTTTTTTCTGTGGTATTGTTCGAACTTCCATTTAAATTCAAATGAATCGAATACAAACATTTTGTTGTATTGAGGACGTAAATAAATAATACTTCATAAAAAAGGCAATTTAGTTTGTGATCCTCTGAAACATATAGCAGTAGATATACAGGTTGTCTGGTGTTTCATGTTAACACACTTTTAATTACAAATGAGCCGGGCGGAATCAAGTGGGACTATTTTTTCTGTTGGTAAGCATATTTTATTGAAAAAATAAGTAAGGGTATTCTACCTTCCTCAAAATAGTTATGTACCAAATTTGAAGAAAAAAATATTTGTTGCTTATTTTTCTATTCGCTGATATAAAAATGCAAAACAGAAGTTTGTGCTACGCATCAGGTATGCCATCAAATTAAAATAAGTTGGTTGAATTAACAAGGAAATATGTTTAATTTTATGATTGAAAGTTCGGTTATTTTCTGAACAGACCTCGTATACTGATAAATGTTTTAAGATGATTATAGACCTAAAAGAACATATTATAAACTCCAACTCAAATGTCCACACATTTCTGCTCACATTCACTAGCAGAATCACACCGAACTACATATTTGATTTACAAATGCAACAATTAAAAATGATGATCTACAATTTGTTGAGTAATGGTTAATTTCAATTACAATGGTTGACTTCGATTAGACATACCTCACATTCAATCACAACTAACTAGAGGATTTATGCACGTTTAGTTCTCTTTAGGGTACATTCCCCTTGTATGTAATTGATTTTGAGTCCGAATGACGTGAACGGCAATAGAACTATANATAAATGATTTGGCACTGTACGTGTAATCTTTGGAGAATTTTTTATTTTTTTTACATTACAAGTGACGGAGAAAATAGGGGTCTCCCTTGCTTTATTAAAAAAATATTAGTACTCCACAGGCTTTAAATTTAAAAAACAATATTTTTTGGATTCTCCGTTTAATTTGGGACAAAAAAATTATCCTTGTAAGTTTTTCGTAACTATTATCATTTTCAAGTAAAATTTATTTATTATTACTATTACAATAGACCTACAAATTGCAGTTGAATTAACGACAATAAATTAATTACTGTATCAATTCAATAATCAATATTTAATAAAACTATTGANACACATTTCTACTCACATTCACTAGCAGAATCACACCGAACTACATATTTGATTTACAAATGCAACAATTAAAAATGATGATCTACAATTTGTTGAGTAATGGTTAATTTCAATTACAATGGTTGACTTCGATTAGACATACCTCACATTCAATCACAACTAACTTGAGGATTTATGCACGTTTAGTTCTCTTTAGGGTACATTCCCCTTGTATGTAATTGATTTTGTGTCCGAATGACGTGAACGGCAATAGAACTATAGCTCTCTTACGGTATTAAGCACTATAACGGTTTGTGCGGTGGTGCTTTGGCATGTAAAGGTTTGCTTGAATATGTGCGGAAGCCTTGCTTCTCCATGCAGCAACATCTCCTTAACTTAATTACTTACGAGTCTTGGCGAACTGTAATATGTAAGTCCGCGAATACTCCATTATATCACAATAATGCCAAAGTACGGACTTAGTGTTTTCCAGAGCATTGAAGTATTTAAAATGTGTTTAATTTTAGAGGAAACAGAAAAATTTTGCTCTCAACTGAATTAAATTGAAAATTAGAATACCATGGATACATAAACAGTAGAAATTGACTATAAATACACCCTAATATCACTTTTTTTTCAACTGTGTATATTTTTTATTAATTGGTTTTTTATTTTCCATAGACATTCTCTTACATTATGATTAGTGTCATCATCACACGAATGACACTCCAATGTTAAAGTTTTCCTACCAAATGTCAATTTTTTACATGATTAGTAGAGAGCATATTATTAATAAGCTGCTACCTTAATATCCGTAATACTTGTTATCCTAGGGAAAGTATATAGTCCGGTCAAAATAGACACTTCAATTTACAATAATTCGCATAGGGTAAATCTAGGAGATATGACGGCACATTTTTTAAAATAATTGAAAAAAAAGAGCAAAACTTCAGATTGCGTTAAAAGAGCTTAATAAGTTATGATATATGACTTCAAATATGACAGAATGTCAGAGATTTTGGTAAAAACTAAAATTTTTTTTTCTTATGACTCTCACCTTAGGTATCGAGGAGAGATAACGCAGTATGTTAAACGATCACACATTTTTATTTTTTTCATAAATTCGTATTAAAACTTCATATAATTTACTTTTGGTTTATTTTGAAATTTGTTAATAATAATAAATATAAATACTCATTATTGTAGTTAGANATTAATATCCGTAATACTTGTGGTCCTAGTCTTGGGAAAGTATATAGTCCGGTCAAAATAGACACTTCAATTTACAATAATTCGCATAGGGTATAAAACATATGTGAAATTGAAAATAAAGAGCAAAACTTCAGATTGCGTTAAAAGAGCTTAATAAGTTATAATATATGACTTCAAATATGACAAAATGTCAGACATTTTGGTAAAAACTAACTTTTTCTTTTCTTATGACTCTCACCTTAGGTATCGAGGAGAGATAACGCAGTATGTTATACGATCACACATTTTTATTTTTTTCATAAATTCGTATTAAAACTTCATATAATTTACTTTTGGTTTATTTTGAAATTTGTTAATAATAATAAATATAAATACTCATTATTGTAGTTAGACAAAGAAACATATTCTCTGAACGAAAACGTAATTGTTTTCGCATTGTTCTTTATTTCTCTTAAAAAAATCTAACCATGCATACATAATCTGCCTTGCGAGATTTTCTGTTGAAATTGTATGGTAATTCTAGTATTTCTGCTAACTCAAAAGCCATAAAGCGCATAAAGGATCTCGTAGGTACAAATCCATGTGTTTTCAACTTTTGCTTTACTAATTTATCCTATTGTAGGCTCCTAGTGTACTTGAAGATTCAAAATTCAAACGGTTTATTTCGAAGTCTTCACACTTCCTTCGGCGTCGCAAAGTGCATTCGGGGCTACCGAATTCGCGACCTGCCTCAGAAATACCCATCGCATCTCTATCGATAGCACTGATTGCTCTAGACAACTGTTCTATTGTCCCCTCTCCTCTTCTAACGTTTCCATTTCTTTTATATTTCGTCGGTATGCATTAAACGATACATTAATAACATTTATGACAAAATAAAATTTTAAACGATGTGTCTATTATTGCGCCAACTCTCCTTACGCATACGTGCGTCAACTCACCTTACAGTAAATATAAGGTGAGTTGACGCAGCAATTTTAAACTAAATTCATAAGAGGAGATGTGTTTTGAAAACAACGTACCTGTATATTTTCTGACTTTAAATGATGTAAAAATATTTAGTGTAACCTCAATAAATTTAACAAAATACCGTCACTAACACTACTCAAATATAACTGTATTTGATACGTATATATGTGACGACATAATAAGAATTACAGGTGTAGGCAAATATACGCTATGAACAATAATTGTGCCAGAACGAACAGTGCGTCATCTCACCTGATGCGTCATCTCTTCTAGATTTACCCTACAGCTAAATATTGGTATAGATCTTTGGATAAGTAAAATATCAAAAGTCCCCACCGCTCCCATGCATGCTAAAATCCAAGGTCAAAGGTCGTAAATAACGGTTTTTACATTTTTCTCGTAAACGGTAAGTGTCATCATAAAAATAGGTCAAACAAAATTTGTAGATCTGGGTTTGGAAATTACTTGATAACATTTTGGCCAATTTAAACTTTACTCCCACTTGCTCCATAAAAACTTCTTAACACCATTTTTTGCAATTGCAAAAAAGTGCAAGTGTGGCTGTAAAAGAGTAGGATTATTTTGTTCATTAGTATGTACCAATTTATTGTCATGGCCAGTCTTGCTCCAATGTTGACTCAAATGCAACAGATGAGGATTCTTATGATATCAATGAGGAGACAATTGATGCATTTTTATTTTAACAATTCATAGATATCCATCAAGAGTAAGAAGATGAAGAAGAAAGCGAAGAAGATATTATTGTTGAAGTAGCATTTGAAGATTATCAGTCAGATTAAAATTTTTCCGAAATCATCAATAATTCGTTCCAGTTTAATCATAACCAATAGTGCCATTATTTATTGAATAGAATATCATCTTATAAAGCTGAATCGCAATAGATCGTAGAGTATGTCTACCGGGGAAACCAGATTAAAAAAACGCGCCGAGTACACTACCTCATAGGTGGTGTGGAAATGTATGCATATAATGCATTTGCCCTGCATAGAATGCGACTTCTTCAACATTTGAAATGGTGATATCTTAGGAATGGTGATTTGTAGGAAAAAAGTATTGGGACAATTTTTGTAGACAATTGCATGATCTACAGCTTTTGTCTGATCTATTTTTATCATAACGCTTACCGTTTACGAGAAAAATGCAAAATAACGATATTTGCGAAATTTGACCTTAAATACATTTTTTAGCAAGCATGGAATCGGTGGGGACTTTTGACATTTTACTTATAATAGTGTACCCGCTCTATGCGAATTATTGTAAACTTACCACTATCTTTGGTCTATTTCGACCGGATTAATAATATTCCTAAGCTTTGTTTGATCAATTTCCGAGCTTATGACCACATTGTTGATGTAAACTTCTTGACGTTTCGAGAAACATGTTACTCCCTTCTTCGGAGGAATTTCTGATATTAGAAATTAAGTCTTATGGTATGTACACTGGTCCATGGAGTTCTGGTGTATGGTTCGAAACCACGAGTCTATAACGATTTGGTCCTTGAGTAGTTTTCGAATTCCAAATAGATCTAATCTTTTATCTCAGTTGAAATGATCTCGATTTTTTTTTATTTCTGTTATTAATATATAAAATTTTATCCAAAACCTTTTCTCTAACTAAAATTCTGATACTTCTTAGATCTACTGAGCTGTATCTATCTTGTGCTTCGAAAATTGTGTTCTTTTCGTCTTGTGCCAGTATTTATATTTGTTTATCTAATGTAGACTTTGCTACCTGCGTATGAGATGCTACACACACCCTGGAAATTATCGTTCGCATTGGAAAAGGCTACTCCTATCTTCCTTGCAGTGCTATTGTTATTGTTTCTTTATATATAGCACATAGGTATGTATTCTTCTGATGATTTAGTCAATACTTCTGTTATACACATCCAAACTCTCTGAGAGCTGCAGTAGTTCCTCATCCAAGTACTGTGGTTGATGAATTTTATATTAAAGTCACTTTTGTTCTAGATCAGATGATGATAACATGATCAGATTTGTGTGGATTAACTTTCTATAAATGCTATGTCCTAAGATAACATCCACCTATCTTTTCACAAAGACGTCCATGACGGGAAGACTATCATATAGTTCCAACTTCATGATGAAGCTGATTCTTAGTTGGACTATATCCTCTTACATAAACTACATAATAAGTACACTATACTGAAATACTCCCAGCTTGTATTCATGATTCGTCATATTTGGTGTATCTACTTGTTATGGAACTAGTAGAGGATTCGAAATTAGCACATTGAAAATCAAGATTTTTTTTGTGAATGTATAAATTAAGTGATTTCTCATATTATATCAGTTAAAACTAAAATATCATTGACGTTTTCCTTAACATAATTATAGTTTTTGGTAAACGCATTTTCCTTAATTTAGTGAGTAAATTTTGATCAACCATCTGAGAACTTCCAACAACAATCAGCAAAACGAATTAAAATTATGATGGTCAAAAAGCAATAAGTATTTATTTAACTGGCTGATAATTTAATAATAATAATTTCTCTATGTTTATCATATAAGAATAAAAAATATTTGTCACTATTTCTAATGGTAAAGTAGCAAATAATTAAATTTTATTTTGTCTGGTGTAACTTTTGATTGCCAAGAATGTGGTAATTTAATAGATATATTCTGTTGGTTAATATTGTCACCATTGTCACTTTCTGATTTTTAATGAATTTTGGGGAAAGAACGTTTTAATTGAGAGGAAAAATTAAATATTGTAACCTTACCAAAAAAGATAAATACTTAATATATATCAAAAAATTGAAAATGTTTTCTTATAAGAGCAGTTGAGTTAGAAACCCTATTATTTTGTTACATTTACTGACGTATTGTAAACATAACTGAATTAACACTTTGCCCTTAAAGTTTTTCCAGGTCTATTAAATTCTCATTAATAAATCTAAATCGACTAAATCGTGCACGATTGCACGATCCTTGAATAATACACTTCGTATAGTTATTTAATGTTTGCCAAGATTGGAGTTAGTCTAACATGCAGGGTAGTTCAGGTTTGAAGTTGAAAATTTCACAAATAACAAATTATTATATTATATTATTAAAGTTTCATAAAAACGTGATCAGAGATATTTTTGAAAATGTGATATTTTTGCCATTTTCAACACCCTGTACCTCGAGAACGAAGGGAACTATGACTCAAGTTCATATGAAACTTTACGCTTAAAATAATACTAGGTATGTTCTATCATCTGGTAAATTATCTGCCTTAAAACCTGAACCACCCTGTATATCATATTGAGAATGATAAATTTTCTTATTTAGCTGTACCTAGTATCAATTTGGGATGTATTTCTTATGAATACTATCAAAGTTAAATACACGTGTATATCCATAACTTTACAATTCGTTATGACATAGTAAAGCCATTATTAAAATCTCTTATTCTTCTCAAACTGTTTTTATTATAAGTACTATGCGTTTGATGTCGCATTTTGACAACCGTGAAAATTAAGTGCTAATAATAATTAGTTAATAATGACAATTAGTAAATCAAATCACTTTCCAATAAAAAGCTTGGCATAGTTGTTTGCCGAAAGAAAAGTAAATCGAAGGTGAAAACTGAAATTATTTTAAACATTGAAACAAATTTTATACATTCCACGTGAAATTCAATCAGTATGTGATGTTTATTGCACTCTGCTGAGTTACATTTACTGTTCCCTCTCTTTAGGACCATAAAAGCCAGTGAATTAGTTAAGGGTGATACATGTTCGCTGAAATCGATATTTTACACTCCTGTAAATTTTAAGCGCTTGAAAAAGTTACTTAATACAATGTACATACTTTTTGCTTTAATATTTTACATATTTCAGGAATGTTAACACGATATATTATTGGAAAATTTTAATAGAAAGTACTGAGAACTAGACTCAAGTTACGACTTACCGTCAGAAAATCTGAAAAGTAATGTGGAACCTTTCGAGCGGCTGACATTGCTGACTGAAAGCCATAGTGCAACAAATAAACACTGTATGCAGTCCTTCCTAGTACTTTAAATACAGGGTGAGCTAAGAAAACGTTTACCGGTCCTGAAACATATTACAGTAATGTATTATTATAACATATCTATAGGTCATTCTATCTAGGAGAAGGAGGAGAGGATAGATTTATATATGTATAGCTGCTACATATTTCTGGTACAAGTTTCAAGATAACTTCTTCATAAATTAAGAGTGGGCCAAATTTGATATTTTTGAATGATTTTTATTATTTTCCGAAAAAATTATACAAGAGAAAAACCGGAAATTATCACAGCCTGACAAAAAAAAGGATCTGATCTGGTGTTCAGACCCATGTATTTTCATGTATTTTTTTCCGCTGAATCCGAATCTACCTTCAGATTTGGCCCAACGGGTCTGACTTTTCGGGAAAATTCAAAAAACATAATAAATATCATTTACGATCGAAGAAAGTTATAAAAAACTCAAATTATTCTACCAGCTCACTACACGTATGATTTTTCAGTCGTTTAATTTCAATTTATCATCATAGAGTGAGAAAAGCTGGTCCAATTTCATTCCATAACAGAAAATATATCAAAATGCTTAAAGCGCCATTTTCATGGCATAATTCGTGCATTGCAGAGTTCTGCAAGTTCATCTTTTTATCCACCCACCCATTTATGAATTCATACATCTTTCTATCCAGTCGTTCATGCATGAATACGCATATTTATTCATCTACCTGTACCACCTATAAAACCCACCCATACACCCATCTATCCATCTACTTTTTGTACTGAGAGATGAGATAACAGCCTAAAAGATTGAGAATGCAATAAAACTTGTAGAATACTCTACTTTCTAACTAAACAAAAGAAAACGATATCAACAAATCATTCTTATTTTTGTTCCTATAACGTGTTCTCTTTTCTTCAAAGGATCTATGCAAAGGGTTACGCTTTAGTTTAGTCCCTCTATTTTTCGTTTCTCTTTTTAAAAACCAACAAAAATCGGCCATCATGTTTTCATCCCATCTTCCTTGATATCGCTGTTCTATAACCTTTATATCCTGATGAAATCGTTCACCTTGTTCTTCACTATAATCTCCAAGATTTTCAGGAAACCAATCCAGATGTGAATGAAGGAAGTGCCACTTGTAGTTCATCAAACATCCCAGATCTTGGAAGACTTTTATCATTTTTGAAACAATTTCTTCGTATTTAGGACTCTTGTTGTTTCCTAAAAAATTTGTCGCTGCACCTTTGAAACTAGTCCAAGCACTCTTCTCAACGCTACTCATTGTAATGATGAATGTTGAATCCTTGAACAATGTCCGAATCTGAGGTCCATTGAATACACCTTCTTACTATGAAATTGACCAAAGTGGGATTAATTCAAGAGCGATTTTCTCAGAAACCGTTAAAGATAACGATTTGAAACAAGAGTATCTTTTTAACGTAAAACAGTTCGGGAAAACGGAATTTGCTGTCCAATTTGTTAAAAAGTCAAAGATGAAAAAGTTACACACGCAAAGTACCAAGGGCCCCCGTACCCACCCCAATGGACCTTGTGGAAATAAATAGATTAGTCCATCAAATTGCTCATCAAAATTTAGCTGTGTATACCAAATTTCATTCATTTATCACAACGCGATTGAGAGATATACCAAAAAAATGATTTCCACTCCTCCCTCTTCAATGGGTCCCTGTGCCCTATGTCATATGAACTTTTTTACTTAGTTTTGATCATAGAATCGGCCTGTTCAGGGTTGGCAGCTAATTATGAGACACCCTGTATAGAAAAACCCTATTATTTTGAAGACTGTTACTTTTTATAAATAAAAGTTATAACAACGCAAAATAAGAATATAATACTTTTTACATAAATAAGTGAAGAGTGATAACATCCAGAATGTCTATAAGCAACCGTGATATTGAGCAGATGGACACTATTGAAGAGGACAATGCAATAGATATGGAAGTGAAAGCAGATATGGAAATGGAAATAGATGCGATCGATGAAGGTCGAGGTCTGACTATGATGATAAATTGGAATTAAACGAGTGAAAAATCATACGTCTAGGGAGCTGGTAGAATAATTTGATTTTTTATAACTTTGGTCGATCGTAAATAACGCTTTTTGTGAATTCGGACCTGTTTTTTGAATTTTCCCGAAAACTAAGACTCGTTGGGCCAAATCTAAAGGCAGATTCGGATTCAACGTAAAAAAATACATGGAAATACGAGGGTCTGAATACCAGATCCGATCTTTTTTTTGTGGGGCTGTAAGAATGTCGCATTCGCCGTTGTTTAACGAACCCTGTTAGAAAACTTTAATATTTTCTCAAATAAAAAAGTTATAGGGCACCATAAAAGAAAGACAAAATTGCAAAACGCTCTGGAACTTTGAAGCGAATCAAGATATCGAGACACAACATTCTTGATTCAGCTTCTATCGAAAATCGAGACAAAAGTTCAGAATTAGGTCCACTCTGTAGAGAAATTCGGTGTTACGCGCTGCATTTTTTTTGCTTTGAGAAACATTCTATTGCTATTTCGAAATTTTGTGTCATTTTCTGTTACCAGATGTAACGTTGATATTGCAGAAATCCAATAAATCGGTAAATATTTAATATCAATTTGTCGATGGAAATCTAAAGGTAATTTAATCGGACTCGCTTTAATCAAAGCGAAAACAGCTTTGTATGCACGAAAGTAAATAATACTGTTTAACTCATGAATGGGGCAGAAAGAGCAGTTAGGTAATGACTTTGGTTTTAAATACACACATTTAAAATCTACTTTTACCAAACAGTATGAATTCTATTTAATGTCGAAACTGAATAAAAGATACTTTAACTAGAATTTAAATAGGGGGGAATGTTAAAAATCAACAATGTACCTATTATTTACTTCAATTGTCAGGCAATGTTAAAAAAATCGGCTCATACCAATCAAATCTGGTGTGGTATGGAGCTGTATGGAGAGTAAGTCCGAACAACGTGATACTAGTTTGGGTACGTACTAGGGCAGAGGGAACATCAGAAAAATCTAAGAACAAAGCTAGTCCAGACCATGTTTAGGAAAGGCTGAACTTAATAGCACATTTTTTCCTTTGGAATGCAATTGCAACTAATATATTTTTTATTTTATTTACTTCCAACTTCTGTCTTTTGCATTGGAATATTTGACAAAATTCTGAAGAGTTGCCATAACTAAACAAATAAATAAATAAGGTCTTATTTGCTCTACAAGCAAAGTATAATCAATTCCCTACGTCAGTGAATGATTGAATGGACTTTATCAATTTCTAGTTAATTGAGAAAAAACAAAATTTTATTGAAGAATGTTCCTCCATTCTCCTATACAGCCGTGTCCCAGCTGTAATGAAACAACCTGTATATGTATTATAGTTACCTCCCTTGCCATTTACGCAGCAGAATATAATCCACATGACACCAAAGGTCCACACCGACCTGCTGCAGGATAGAAACAGGGAGGAAAATAATCTGTTGTATGTATAATTCTCCTCGTGAAAGACGTGGGCAGCCAGAACCACCGACAACAGGGCCGCTGAAGATAGAGTCCATCCCAATATGTTAACAACTAAATTAATCCGTATCCGCCTTCCTCTCGTCTTGAATAATGCATAACCGAAAGCCAAACCGATAATATAGGGCGATGCTCTGGCGTGCGGAGCGACATAATGTTTGTGAAAATATTTGGTATCGAGCAAACGGGAACTGAAAAATGTAATAAAAATGTCTATTACAAAAGCAGAAAACTTTATTGTATCAGAATATAAATGGGAAAAATTATGCATGGCAATTATAAATAATTCCTGCTAAAGTATAACAGAAATGAATATTTAAATCGATATTAATATACAGGGTGGTCCGAATTTTATGCAGGAAACTTCGAGTGCTTATAGATCTTTTTAAAATAGTAGGTGTTTGCCTTATAAACATAGGTCTGGAACGGCCTCGTTTTAGAGATACAGGGTGTTGAAGTTGTTAAAAAAAATTAATTTTTTGTTTATATCTCCGGAATCCATCAACCGATCTGAACAAAATTTGGTACAGATAATGGATGACAGTAGGCCTTGCATTCTCTAAAATATGAGCTCTAAAGGATCTACCAGTGGTGTACAACTGGACAGGGTCACCCTTTTTTTATAAAAAAAACCTACGCCACTGTATTTTTTACAATCTATTGTAACGGATTTATATTCTAATGTACAAAATACGTAAAAAAGGTAACGTGAATTTTTTCCCTAAAGTTCACCGTTCTCAAGTTATTCATACGAATACAATCTCCTTGTGGCGGATACTTCTAACCATAATATTACAAGAATATTTATGTTTATGCTTAAAAGTAAGTGCAATTTGTAAGCACATCAACAAAATTCTTTACACTCGTCGCTTTCATCTTTTGGATTAAAACGATATTTGGAAAATCACGACGGCTCAATGAAAGACACAGAAATGAAATTTTAAGAACATTGGGGTGAGTAAATCGAAAATTTGAAAAGTTCTACATAAGGATGGTAGAAATCCGTACTATTTACAACCTGTGCAAAATTTACTTCCGGGAGATGTAGACACACCTGAATTTTTGTTAGTGGTTGTTTTAAAGTCACAACATAATCCAGAATTCTTACTAGAAATACTTTGGACCGATGAGGCTACGTTCACAAGGCGAGGGGTAGTGAATTTTCACAATATTTGGTCACAAGAAAATCCTCATGAAATTCGGATAAGATCTTTTCAACGAATTTTCTGGCTCGGAATAATTCGGACTTTATTTCTTGTCACCCCATCTAAATTCCCAGCATTTCTAAACTTTCTAGAAAACCATCTATTTGAATTATTAGAGGATGTTCCATTAAATATACCACAAAATAGCTGGATACAAATGGATGGTGCTCCTGCGCATTTTAGGAGAATAATACAATAATGGCTTAAAAATTATATGGGGCGATGGATAGGTTGAAGACCAAATGCCAATGTCAACCATAATGGTGCAGAGAATCCAGTCTCTTGGCCAGCCAAATCGCCAGATCTAAACCCCCTGGACTTCTACGTTTGGGGTTACCTATCTGAAAAGTAAAGTTTACTCTACTCCACCACAACTACTGCAGCGAATAGAAGAGGGGTGTAATGAATTAAAAGAAAACCACCACATGATATTAGTTAGGTAATTCCATTAATCATTAATAGAAATTGTCAGAAATGTATCGATGTGGATGGTTCGCATTTTGAACAATTGCTGCAAATACGTAACGTTAATTTCATTTCTTGTTTAATTGTCGTTGCTTGGTAAATGTATTTTTATTATTATTTTCATTTAAATTGTCCTTATTTGTAAAGATAGTGGATTAAGCCTCCAGGAGAAACTAAAATACACTAGGAACACTACCTCACAGGTGATGTGGAAATAATTTTGTTGATCTGCTTACAAATTGCACTTCCTTTTAAGTATAAACATAAATATTCTTGTAATATTATGGTTTGAAGTGTCTGCCACAAGGGGTTTGTATTTGTATGAATAACTTGAGAATGGTGAATCTTCGGGAAAAATTTCAAGTTACCTTTTCTACGTATTTAGTGCATTAGAATATAAATCCGTTACAATAACTTGCAAAAAATACAGTGGCGTAGTTTTTTTATAAAAAGAGAGCGGCCCCTGTCCAGTTGTACACCACTGGTTGAACCTTTAGAGCTCATATTTTAGTAAATGTAAGGCATACTGTCATACATTATCTATACCAAATTTTATTGAGATCGGTTAATAGATTCCGGAGATATAAACAAAAAATCTATTTTTTTTAACAACTTCAACACCCTGTATCTCTAAAACGAGGCCGTTCCATACCTATGTTTATAAGGCAAACACCTATTATTTTAAAGAGATCTATATGCCCTCGAAGTTTCCTGCATAAAATTCGGACCACCCTGTATAATATATAACTTTATTAAACTGAAGATGGTAGATGCAGGTTAAGTTACAGTTACAGTTTCAGTTCAGGTACATGTTACCAAAAAAATCATAGAGTTAAATGGCATATGGGAAGAAAAAGAAAACATCCATTTAGAACAGTTCAAAATCTATTGCTGATAACGACGATGATTACGACGATGATGATAATGGTGAAGATGATGATGATGATGATGATGATGATGATGATGATGATGATGATGATGATGATAAACAGGAGAAACTTAAGGGTAAGTGCAATGATAAGGATAAGAATAGGGGTAGGGAAAAGGATACTGGTACTTATAATGACAATTATAATGTTAATGATTGTAATAATGATGGTGATGTTGATGGTGAGGCGATTGAGATGGTGATATTGATGGTAACCGTGACAGTGATAGTGATAGTGACACTAATAGTGATGGTGATAATGTTAACAATGATGATGAACAAATCAATTCAGATTAGAATGTTCATAGAATAGCGCGAAAATAAGTAATTCTCCTTCACGTATAAAATAATATGTTTTTTAAACCAACATTAAACTTCTGATGAACTTGCTTCAGCAAAGATACACCAGAGGAAACGGCGAATAAGAAATGGTACAGGACGTTTTGGAAGAGGGTAGTGTAAATTCAAGTGCTTTCAAGAAATAACAGTATTTCTTCACCTTTTGTTTTTAGATACAGAGCATCAAATAATATTTTTATAATGAAATTTTAGTAAATCTATTCCAAAAATTAATAGAATGTATTCAAATTTGGTATTTATAAGTTTTTGACGATACTAAATATCACTGTTATTAGATTTTGATCATGTTAGTCCAGGGCATTTAGATCAAAATCGACCGGAATAGCGGAAATTTTTAGGTGCAGCAGATATCGAGATGCGGTTTTCTGCATTGTGTTCAGGAAGGTCCCAGGAAAAAAGTCTATATCGTCTGGTTAAGCCATTTTTTGAAAAATGCCTTCTGGGCCGGAAAATGCATTTTCCAATTTCACCATTACTTGCACCTTTATAGGAACGACTGGAAACTCGGAAAAATCGCTCGGAAATCGTTACCCGGGGGTTTTCAGGGCTGCCGAACTCGATTCTGTCATTAGAATTACCCGGAGGTGCACGGGGGTGGCTCTGTGGGGGTGCGCGGGGGGTGAATTTGGGGGAGAAATGGCAGCGTACATGAAAATCGCTCCAAACTCGTTACTCGGAGGTTTTCGGGGATGCTGAATTCAATTCTGGCATTGGAATTACCCGGGGGCGCTCGGGGGCGGCTCTGCGGGGGTATCCAGGGGGTCATTCTGGGTGTGAAATTGCATAGTCCATGGGAAGCGCTCCAAACTCGTTACTCGAGGGTTTTCGGGGATGCCGAATTCAATTCTGACATTAGAATTACCCGGGGGTATGAATAATAAATATTTTGATTGAATATTAAATAAATAAATATTACACATATTATAAAAACAATTGCTTTGAAAGTCTTTTGTGCCTCGAAACTGGATTTGAAAAAGGCGCCAAAGCTATAAAGAGAGTAGAGTATCGTTACCACGGGGACCGGCGCGAAAAGAAATATTCTGTATCGACTGAAGAGAAAAAATATGGGTCCAGTTCCCGCGCGCAGTCGGCGTCTGTGTGGCATCAGTATTACATCTGTCGTTTAGGACCACGTTGCTTTTTCGTTGTATGTAAATACAGTGCTACAGTAATCAAGTTTCTTGGATTTTGGACCTTTTTTTGGTGTTTGAGTTCTGTCCGGCACTCTTATACCACGTTGGTTTTTTGTTATACCTAAATATAGTGCTAAAATAATCAAGTTTTTTGGATTTTGGACCTTTTTTGGTGTTTGAGTGGCGTCTGGCACTCTTGGACCACGTGGGTTTTTCGTTATACGTGAATACAGTGCTAAAGTGATCAAGTTTTTTGGATTTTGGACCATTTTTTTGGTGTTTGAGTTGTGTCCGGCACTCTTGTAAGTCATTTTTGATAGATCACGTGTTCGAGGATTTGTTTTTCAACGGAATCGAATATTGGCTTGAGCTTACAATGGATGTTTCTGGAGATATAAGAAACTTCCAACGGGGCCGAGAATAGTGACGAGGAAGAAGATGAAGAAGGGGAAGAAGAAGAAGAGTTTGAACAAGATGTTTAGTATTTAAGTTAAAAATTTGAGTTTATAATGAATAATTCAACATTAACAAAAACTCCTATTTGTTATTTGAATAAAGTATTGTTTTCATAATTTGTGATTTTTCACTTTCTCCTTTACCATTTCCCACAGAGCAACCCCCGAGCGCCCCCGTGGTAGTCTAATGCCAGAATTGAATTCGGCATCCTCGAAAACACCTGAGTATCGATTTTGGAGTGATCTTCATGGACGCTGTCATTTCCCCCCCTCACCAATCACCCCCAGACAACCCCACAGAGCCACCCCCGATCGCCCCCGGGGAATTCTAATGCCAGAATTGAATTCGGCATCCCCGAAAACCCCCGAGAAACGAGTTTGGAGCGCTTTCCATGGACTATGCAATTTCCCCCCCAGAATGACCTCCCGGATACCCCCGCAAAGCCGCCCCCGAGCGCCCCCGCTTAATTCCAATGCCAAAATTGAATTTGGCAACCCCGAAAACCCCCGAGTAACGAGTTTGGAGCGATTTTCATGCACGCTGCCATTTCTCCCCCAATTCACCCCTCGCGTACCCCCACAGAGCCACCCCCGTGTACCCCCGGGTAATTCTAATACCAAAATCGAATTCGGCAGCCCCGAAAC